TCCACGATTTTGACCCAAGCACAGTCTGAAAACAAGGGACATTGATGGAGGCAAACTCAGAATCATGGAGAAACTCACCAGGAACAACCCTTTCACTCCAGCTTAGAGTCAGATCGGACTCCGGGCTTTAACTCCGTTTTCTTTCTTCACAGATACTGCCAGACCTGCTGAGTTTATCCAGCATTCTTTGTGTTTGGTTCAGGATTTCCAGCAACCACAGTACTTTTACTTTTATGATACCAAGGGTGGGCGAGGAGGGGAATGTTCAATACAAGGAGAAATCCAGAGATTTTTAATTAACTTGTTCTTACACGCCTCTGGAGCAGAGAACCTAGGACTCCTGGCTCATAGGTAGGGACACCACCACTGCACCACGAGAGAGGGGTATACCGTGTGGCACTGTGGTAAAAATCAGCATTATGGTATTGGTTAGTAGAATAGGCTGGAGGGGCCAAATAGTCTACTGCTGCTCCTATTTCTAAAATTCCAAAGAGAGGGGACACTCGCAGAGGCTGATAGAAGCCAAAAGCATCTGTCAGAGAGAGAGAAAGTCAGAGCATCAGGAGAATGTGAACACATTGAGAGCAGAACTCAGAGTAAGGCCACTGTGGCACAGTAGGTTCGGGAGGGGAGTGGTGGTTTACAGCTTTTCAAAGCATTTTCTAAGGAAAGCCTCACAGAGCAGGAATGGAGCAACAGGTTGACAGTGAGCAATAGGTTAGTTCCTCAGGGGTCTGGCTCAGGTAAAAGAGACCTCTGTGTTAGGGAAGGAGCAGATTGGTGAATGACTAGTCAGGCTTCTTCCAAAATCAAATCAGAGACAACGCAAACATTTTCTGTTAAGTTTGGACGATTGATTAAGAAAAGGCATTTAAAAATTTCACCAGTGTTTAGAGCTTAGCACGTGTTGGTACGCAAAGAGAGAGATAATTTACAACAAACTAAAAGGTGAATATAAATAATTTAGGCTAAGATATGGCTGAACAGGTCGCATCTAGAAATGTAAAGGGCAGGACTTTGTGGTCAGTGAGACAGGGCTGCATAATCTGCAGGACACGTCCAGTATAAAAAGTAGCCCCTGACTGAGGGTTGCAGACTGGCACATTCCAAGGTCCAGGACTACATGCTGAGGGATGCACTAAAGCTTAGGGCAGCTGCCACGAAAGCATAGCGAGCTAAGACCACTGTCTAAGGTCTTTCCGCCAAAGTAGAATAAGGATCCATTCAGTTACCAGACCCTCCCACTGCCTTAACGTATGTAAGTAGTACCCTACATGAGTAAGGAATGCCTTTGTTTTTGTAGTTGCAGTTAGAATCATAGAATCCATACAGTATGGAAGCAGGCCATTTGGCCCATCGAGTCCACACTGACTGTCCGAAGAGGATCCCAACCAGACCCGCTCCATCCCTGTATTCCTGCATTTTGCATGGCTAATCCATCTAGCCTGCACATACCTGGACACTGTGGGCAATTGAGCATGGCCAATCCATCCCAACCTGCACAGCTTCGGACTGTGGGAGGAAACCGGAGCACCTGGAGGAAACCCACTGAGAAACGGGGAGAATGTGCAAACTCCACACACACACAGTTGCTTAAGTGTCGAGTCGAACCTGGATCCCCGGCACTGTGAGGCAGCAGTGCTAACAACTGAGCCATAGTGCCACCTGCAGGGAATGTCAAATTCCACTTTTGTTTTCTCTTGATACGCAAAATCAGTACAGAATTGCTTTAGTACCCGCGAATGAAAATAAAGATTTTTTTATGAATAAAGTACATTTTTGCAATTAAAAAAGACTGCAGATGTCTGTCTCACAGTTCTCTGGGTCACAGCAATTGAATTGCAGTGCGAGTTGGAGACACTGATAAAGAAGTGATTGGGAGTAGGATCTACACAGTTTGCTCCAAACTGGGGACATTTTCAGAGAGAGGATCAGTTAGGGTAGGAGTTTTGGCAAACAGATTGTAGACCACGGTACCTGGAGGCAGGAAGCTGTCCAAAGGGCTGGGGAAAGTGAGGAAAGGAAATGTAATGTGGTAACCAATGGCAATTTGATAAGGGAGGCTGGTAGTAGCCAGGACTTTCACACAGGCTGTTACCCAGGAGGTGCCATGCCGAGACACATCTTGAAGTGGAAGTCAGAAGGAATGAGCACCCATATTAGAAGCAACAAGATTGGGAAGGGGAGGCAAGAGGGTCCTGTTTTGGCGATCTCCAGGAACGAGGGGCTCCTGTAAAAAATACAACCTTTATGATAACAAGGTGTAGAGCTGGATGAACACAGCAGGCCAAGCAGCTTCAGAGGAGGAGGAAGGCTGACGCTTCTTCAGAAGGGTCTAGGCCCGAAACGTCAGCCTTCCTGTTCCTCTGATGCTGCTTGGCCTGCTGTGTTCATCCACCTCTACACCTTGTTATCTCAGATTCTCCAGCATCTGCAGTTCCTACTATCTCCGACCTTTATGATACCTGAGCTACATGCAAATTAGTCTGTTGATAAACAGATCATGTGGTTGTAGGGTTGTCAGAAAGAAGACTTCCATTTCATGGGAACTCACATCATGGACAGGATTGAAAGGAATTGTACCATGGGGCAAAATTTCATCGGAACTGGGGTCCCACTAGAAAGGACAAAAAAAGTGTCAAGAACTTTGAACTACTAAATGAGGTGCAGCGATCAGGTGGAAAGAATGGTGTAGGAAATAGTTTGAAAGCGAACAAAAGGGAAGAGAGTAGAGTGACAGTCAGAAAGAGTGTTTCACACCTATTACAGGCAAAGGGAAATCTAAAAGATGTGAAGTCATCAAAACAGGAGAGTCAAATATGAAAAATGTGTGAAAAACATTCAACTTTAAGGGCAAGTTAGGGTGTGCTGCCCAACAGATTGTTCGTTATGAAAACATAATAGGCTAAAGGTTTTCAGGTGGGCCATACTGCCCACCCAACTCCAAAAGTAAAGCCAGTTGCAAACGAATTGACAATAAAAGGGCCGTGCAGCAGTGACTAAGGAATTTGGGCCCTTTTAAAAAACTGAGAGTCAGACTAGCTGCCTCAGTGGAAGAAAGTCTCACCCTTGAGCACTGTTGGTTATTCTGACTGTACCAACATTCACAGGAGGGTCACAACAGCTCTGTTGGATAGATGGCTGGATTGTGCTGCTAAAATGATGCCAACACCATGGGTTCAACTCTCATACCTGCTGAAGTTATGATGAAGGTCTCTCCTTGCCTGAAGTTTAACCACCACCAATTATCTCTTGCTAATGAGAGAGCAGCCCTATTTTTGGTAAGACTCTAGTGACGTAGGCCTATATCTAGCTTCGCAGCAGAAGGCAGAAATTACATACCAGAAGTAGAAGGTAACCATGGGCAAGTGAGAAAATAATTAATCTCAGCAGAAGAAAAAGTAATAGAAAAGGGTCTAAAACAGATACAATTCAAGGTCTACACTTCAGGATTCTAAAAGATATTTTTTTTAAAATTTGTTGATTTGTGGGATGTGGGCATCCCTGCATGGCTCAGCATTTCTTGCCCATCCCTAGATGCCCTTGAGAAGGTGGTGATGAGCTGCCCTCTTGAACCGCTGCAGTCCATCTGCTGTAGGTTGACCCACAATACCATGAGGGAGGGAATTCCAGGATTTTGACCCAGCAACAGTGAAGGAATGGCAACATATTTCCAAGTCAGATGGTGACTGGCTTTGAGGGGAACTTTAAGGTGGTGGTGTTCCCATATATCTGCTGCCCTTGTCCTTCTACATGGAAAGGGTCATGGGTTTTTGAAGGTGCTATTTGAGGATCTTTGGTGAATTTCTGCAATGCACCTTGTAGAGAGTACACACTGCCATTACTGAGCGTTGGTGGTGGAGGGAGTGGATGCTTGTAGATGTAATGCAAAATCAAGCAGGATGCTTTGGCCTGGATGGTGTCCAGCTTCTGAAGTGCTGTTGGGGCTACACTCATCCAGACAAGTAGGGAGTATTACAAAGATTCATGACCATCTGAGTTGTTTCTCCTCATCTCAGCATGAAATCAGAGGAATTCCTACAGTGTAGAAGCAGGCCATCCAGCCCATCAGGTATACACCAACCCCTCCGAAGAGCATTCCATCCAGTCCCAGCCCCCACCCTATTCCTGTAACCCTACATTTCCCAAGGCCAATCCACCTAGCCTGCACACCTTTGGACCATGGAAAGAAACCCACGCAGACACGGGGAGAATGCACAAACTCCACACAGTCGCCCAAGGCGGGACATCAAACCTGGGTCCTTGGCACTGTGAGGCAGCAGTGCTGACCACTGAGCCACGCTAAATGATAGGACCCTAACCCTGAGAGTTTCTGGAGGGGCATAAAAGGCAGAAAGTCAGTGGCTCGTTCCCTAACTGGGGGGGATCTAGAACACAGAGCCCCTATCTCAGGATAAGGGTTCTACAATTTCAGACTGAGACGAGGAGAAATGTTTCAGAATGGTCATGAATCTTTGTAGTTCTTTACTCCAGAAGGTTGAATGCTCCATTGTTGAAGACATTCAAAATGGGATTAATTGATTTTGCAGTTTTAATCTCTCTGGGAGTCAAAGGCTGTGGGGAGCTGGCTGGAGTTTGGGTTGAAAAATCAGCCTTCTTCATATTGAATGGCAGAACGGGTTTGAGGGGCTGAATGGTGTTTTTTGGATCCTGTTTCTTAATCGGGTTCATCCTGAGATATCGGAAGGGCAATGGAAAATGGAATTCATGGAGTGAGTGCTGGAGCTGTAGCTTCCCTAATGTTTCACCACGAGAAGGTGCAGCTGATTGCACAATGGATGTTGGACAAGCGGCGTGGGAACACTGGGGCTGTGGAGAGGTGACAGAAGGTGGAAAGGTCAACATCTCGATACACAATTCCCCATTGCAGCCACTGGAAATCGGAGCAGTTAAACACCTGACGACAGCCAAAAAGCAGGCTGTGTGGATAAACTCTCAAAAAGGTATTTCTGATAGAATAATTTTGAATATCCTTGCCATGGAATCAAACAAAACGTTTAATAATAACAATTCTGAATATAACAAAATTCACTTGAATAAAACAGGCAGACAAAAATAGGTTGAAAGTAGTTTCTGGAGCTCCAGTCCTGCTCCCTAATGGTACTTTTTTCAACATTTGATTTAGAATCATAGAATTGGCAGGCATGATGAAATCAGATTGAGCTTTGTATGCACACAGAATGAAGATTCAGGCAATATTTTTCAGGGATGTTTCACATCCGAGTAAGCACCACGTATGTACGTTCAGAACTAAATGTCAGTTTTCCAGATTGTCTTATTTATTTGTTTCTGCCAAGTGCGATTCTCACATGTGGAGTAACCAGATCAGCCATGATCTTATAGAATGGCAGAGCAGACTCAAAAGGGCCGAATGACCACCTCCTATTCCTATTCTTTCCTCAGAGTTGGATGAGATGTTCTACAACAGGTCTGTGATATATCAAGGAGCCCAGCGAGCAGAACAGAGACTAGGGCCCTACACAGTAGCATTGTATAAGCTTCATTTATTTTCATTTGATAGAAGCTTTGTTGGCACGTCAGAGCAACCAGAAGGATGCTCATTCCAACATTTAAATGTATTTGGGCACCAGGTATACTAGACTAGTCTCCTACTCCTAATTGCAGAGAACAGGTGAACAGCACAGTTATAGGATTTAGTCTGTGCAGTTGCAAGGCCTCTCACTTTGCCCTCCCGGAGAATGGTTTCTTGAGATTAAGAGCACTTGTTTCTATCACAAGCTTCACAATTCCTCCTTGAAGGTCACTCACTCTCTCCAAGGCACTCCTTAAAACCTACCACTGGCCAAGTTTCTGATCATTCAATCGCGTATCTCTTGCTGTGTCACAGTGTGAAACTCCATTCGATAACACGCTCCCTATGAAACCCCATTAAAAGGGGCTATTTAAATACCAGATGAATAAACTAACAGAGGTTACCTGATGTTTTCTTTCTCACTCCGCTCCCCTTATAGGCACTATATAAACAGACTCAAAGGACAAGAGCTAGAATCAGCCACAAAATGTTAGTTAACTTCATCTGCTATCAGCGCTTTATTTAAAAATGTAAGTATTAAATATACACATGCACACACCAGCCTCTAAATACAATTTAGTATCTGGCATTGAAGGGTCTATGGTAGCCACACGAGGTATTTCTGTCTCCCAATCCCCAACGCTACTGCCTAGTGAAACCCATTTGTTTGGAACTCTGCATTTGATGGTAAGCTTGGGGCTCTTCCTCAAAAGTAGTATCCTAAAACGATTCTCTAGCCTGCTGTCTTGTAAAGAAATGAGCTGCCACACTGCTAAAATTGCCAACAAACAACTCAATCTTCCATTTCTACATCTCCATCCTCTCCAGCACACTTACTAGCTTCCACTTCCATTTCCACACTTTTCCCTACAGGATCTTTTCCAGCTTCTAGCTGTCCCACTTCTTGCATTTCCATTTCTTCTGTGCACTCACTTTCATCTTTACCAGAATGTGGGATCTTCCTTTCAGAATCGCTTTGACCTTCATGAATTTTTAATTCAGTTGACATATTTTTCTGTTCTAAATTGCTAATTGCTGTTTCTTCTTTTGTAGATTTATCAGCTTCTTTGGTAATCTCTTCTGGCTTAGCTACATCATCTAGCTCTTCCTTTGATGTATTGCCAGTTTTACTTTCTTCAGTTACAGGACTATCTGCTTCAGTGTTCACTTGCTCTGGCTCAGCCATCTCATCAATCCCCTCTTCTGCTGTTTTCTTTATGACTTTCCCTTCCATAACTGGCATTTCTGCTTGTCTTGAATGCACTAACATTTCCTTTCCTGTTTGGCAGGTAGCTTCACCTTCTATTTGTTGTATTCCCACATCACCTTCCATTCTATCATGTTTGGTTTGGCGGTTCTCATGCACTTCAACATCTTGCACTAAGTCTTCAACATTCGGTTTAATATTTTGCATGACAATCACTTCCTTACGTTCAGTTTGCTTTTCAACATTTTCATTGCACTTGTTTTCATCACCATCGCTCTTCTCTTCAGTGCTACACCTCTCCTGACTTATGGGCGCATCAGGTTTTTCAGCCTCTACTTGATACTTCGAGGTCTCCTCTGTGTCTTTCTGACACACTGTCTTCTTCTGCTGAGAATCTGAAGGCCTTTGTTTCATTAGACGTCTCTGCTTTGAGCTGTGGCCCTCATCTGATGGCAAGCAAATACTTTCTTCACCTTTCGCCAACGTGTCTTCATCTGATGTTTCCTCACTCATTGTTTCTTCTTCTTCCTTATTGAGTTCTTCACGAATATGCCTAAACCGGTGTTCTATTTCCTTGGGAGGACCCCAGACAAAGTCTGCTGTTGGCCGATAATGCTTCTGGGCATACAGTATCAACTTTCTTCTCTCGGATTTACTTCGAATGGTATAAAGAAAGTAGTCCAAGACACTCTCTTTAACATTGGGCAACTGGTTATGTACTAGTGTTTCTGTTAGGAAAAACTTCACCAATGGGGGCTGATAGTGTTCAAAGCCCATCTCTCCAAGGCACTTCAGTATTCGAGTGATGCGGAGATTATTGTGTGTGCGTCTGAAATGGAAAAGAAAATACGATCAGCAAAGTCAACAATAAACTTGGCAGTGGCAGACACTCATACCAGTGACCCCAATGATTAGAACTGCACATGAGTACCCCAATGGTGCAAATGTAAACAAAAAGCAGAACAATGTGGGGGGGGATTGAGGGGTGGTGGTGACTGGAGGCACACACACCGGAGAAGGTAGTACTGAGGGAGCATCATCCTATTGTAGAATGCAGCACCATGGGAGGGCCACGCTGTCAGAGGGAGAAAATACCAATGAAATGCTGCAATTTGAAGTGACGTGATGATTTATCTCAATGCTATTGCAGAGCTTACTACGAGTAAACCTTACATTCATTGTTGGAAAAGTATATACTTATACAGGTAGTTCTGCTATAACGCATGTTAATGTCAATTGCCTGTAACACAATCGCTGAATAGTGGATGCTGGTTTTGACAACACAAACTTCCTACTGTACAGGTATAGCGATTTCCCTATAAATGCGATCTTCAATGGTGATTTTCTGTGGTGTGAGGTCACACAAAAACACAACTATAGCGTTATAAGGGAACTACCTGAATCATCATTTTGGAAATTTGAATTTTAAAATAGAAGTAAAATATGTGGTGGTTTCAGGTCTGAGACTTTTTTCTTAAAGAGGTTAGAAACTCATGTGGAACAGTGAACTAAATCATTTCCAAGAAAGCACATGACTTAAGTGCCTACAGGAGACTAACGCTATCAACTAACACCACTGCTATCCAACTAAGCGTTGACAAAATTGGATTTTTGAAAGACAGAAACACTCCAGGGGCTACAAGTGATTTGAATCCAGAATCAGGTTCCAGTGCAGCATTGCAATTTTATCTAAGAAGGGTTTTAGTTTATGAAGTCTCTAATATGTTAGAGTCTACGTTAATGTTTTCAAGTTGTCAGAACTGAACACACAGAGGTTTAGGACTTCAGGAGAAGGTCATCAAACCTGGGATAGTATGAACTGCAGATGCTGGAGAATCTGAGATAACAAGGTGTAGAGCTGGGTGAACACAGCAGGCCAAGCAGCATCAGAGGAGCAGGAAAGCTGACGTTTCAGGCCTAGACCCTTCCTACTCCTCTGATGCTGCTTGGCCTGCTGTGTT